TTGCTTGCCGTAGTCATTTGACCATTGACCACGCGTCCCTTTCGAGACGGAGCCCAAAAAGGATTTGGGGGGGGGGTCCTTTTCTGAGCCCAAAAAATAATTTGGGCGTCTTCAGGGTAGGAAAATGCCAAGTTCCAACAGCCCAAAATCCAACAGCGCAAATTCCAACAGCGATTCCGGCCGGCCTGTTATAAAATTGGCCCATTTTCCAACAGCGATCCTGTTGGAATATCGCTGTTAGACATGGGGGGGGTACCCCCTGGTTCACCCCGATCGTGACAGAACGAGGAACTACACCGTCTGCTGGCCAAACAGAGGCCAGTAATATGAAGTCATGCACAAACCCTCCGGGGTATCTAAAATTCAGGGCGTTCTGCGTCGTGTTGGCCGCACACGAGACGAAAACGTCAACCTTGCCACATTGCTCTGCTGACGTTATTGCCTTTGGGCCGAAACGAGCCGTTTTCATGACTGCTGCATGTGTGACTAGTTCAAAATGCATGCCAGAGAGAGGCCTTAAGCCGTCGACATCCACAAACTGCAGCCAATGGCGTGTGGTCATACTCATGCCCTCTGCTCGCGTACCAGAAACAGAGCATATTGTCCAGTTTTGATTGCACACGGCCTGCAAACGATTACCAAAGTGTGTTGCGGTGTTGACTTTTTGGGCTTTGTTCTTGTTCCGCCGCGTGTTTGCCCCGTGTGTCACTCGCGACCAGTCAAAAACGCATGCCAGAGAGAGGCCGTTGGCCGACGACATCCACAAACAGCAGCCAGTGGCGTGTGGTCATACACATACCCTCTGCTCGCGTCCGGAAACAGAGCGTATTGTCCAGTTTTGATTGCACACGGCCTGCAAACGTGAATCGAGGTGTGGTTCAGTGTTGCCTATTTTGGACGATGCTTTTTCTTCTGTCGCTTGCTCCGAGTCAAGTGTGATCAGTGTACAACGCATGCCATCAGAGAGAGGCCTTTGGCCGACGACATCCACGAACTGCAGCCACTGGCGTGCGATGATGCACATGCCCTCTGCAGGCGACCCATAACCAGGGCGCTCGGTGTCTTGTTGGTCGCACACGAGCCAAAACCGTGTACTGAAGCATGTTGNAGTGTTGCCTATTTTGGACGATGCTTTTTCTTCTGTCGCTTGCTCCGAGTCAAGTGTGATCAGTGTACAACGCATGCCATCAGAGAGAGGCCTTTGGCCGACGACATCCACGAACTGCAGCCACTGGCGTGCGATGATGCACATGCCCTCTGCAGGCGACCCATAACCAGGGCGCTCGGTGTCTTGTTGGTCGCACACGAGCCAAAACCGTGTACTGAAGCATGTTGTGACTCACAAAACATGAATCAGCCTCTTTGTTCCCTTCAGAAAAAAGTACCAGGTATACCTCGAGGAACCGTAAGACGGTCGTTTGGACCTTGAAAAAAATTCTCGTGCAGGCCACCCCCCCCCGACCAAGAGAAAAAAAAACTCCGAAATAATCACGCCGCAAGACTCGGCCTTACCACGAAAAAAAACGTATCGAGAAAAAAGCCATCGGAAACGAACCAACACTTCGGTTTCGACACCCGCGATCGTGTAACAAACACACGATTGACCTGAGCACAAATGAAAGAACAAGTGGGCGCGTGCTGCAATGCACCATATCGTGATACACAGAAGTAGCGGTGCCCAACCCTTACCTTGACGACGTGCCCCCCAGCAGCCCGAAGCGCCGAAGGGTCTTTGGCACACGCAAGGGCGCTCACAACCCCGTCCGCCAGCCGCCCCTGCACCGACGCCAATTCGGAAGCGCTCGCGTCTTCCATCCTGCACGCCACATCCTCCATCAGGATGGCCACCTGATGACGATGTGATGAAGGCGATGATTTATGATAGTTTGACGCGGTTGAATCAGCACAAAAAAAAATGCTTGCTTGTATAAAACCATTGCTGTTCTACCACGGACTCTCATCTTTGCAAGAGATGGGTTTGCTTTGTTCTTTGTGAGAAAATAAAACACAGACGGCGGCAGATGGGAAGAAGAAACATGGAGTCCCCCTCATCGCCGCACCATCCAGGGACCCCCCACCCCCTGGCGATGTTGCGCAATGCTGGCCGTGTGTGAAACGATGCAAACGGAGTTCGAACGGATGGCGGTGGTGGACAGCAATAGGAAAATGAAACGACTCAAGTCCTGCCGCTGCTGCGTTTCCTACGGCTTCCGCGTATTGGACTTCCTACTACTGCCCCTGTTGCTCCAAACTCTACCGTCGACGTCGCGTTCTCGAGGCCAAAGACTGCGCCTTTGAAGGCAACTTGAACCAGACTAAGAGAGACGAGGGACGGGCTACCGCTGTGCTTTTCTTTGGTCTCTCGGACATGGGGTCACACGGCCGGCCGGCGCGCCTGAGTACCTCGTCTGGGCCATAGGCCGGGCTCTGGAGCAGCACCCCCAGCCACGCCGCCGCCCCCTCCACGTACACCTCTAGCGGGGCCGGGGCGATCTCCTGAACAAACAAACGCGACAGCAATGGAGGGGCGCGCGGGGGGGAGAGGGGGGGTACCGCGAAGTGAGGGAAGGAACAGACTTGGACATAATGCTTGAGGAAACCCTTTTCGCGTGTTTGTTTCGACAACCAGGGGAGAGTACTCTCCATAAGACAGTGATGCTTTCTTTCACGTCCTGACTCCACCCCTCTCATTTTGTCGCCGTCACCGCTCGGCCGCAAATAGAATGTAACGCCGTCGGTGGGCGCGCCCCCTCTACCCTCCCTCCCCTCGCCCCAGCCCTGTCCCTACCAAACCAAGTCCTAGTACGCAACAACAGTTCACGAGTTGCCAGCGTCATCGTCAGCGGCGCGTGATATTGACAGCATAAACGAGTTGACAGCATCAGCCAAACAGAACATTGCTGCGGACTAGTGGTTTTACCGTAATCGGATGTCAGAACAGGCGAAAGCATAAACCTGTACGCGCCTACAAGCCTCTTCGTGGTGGAGGGAGCAGACGAGATACAACTCTTCCTAGAGTGACTTGGAGTCGCAACTACAAACACCCAAACAAGTTCAACATAGCACTGGAGAGTATCCCCGGAGGACGATCACTTACTCGATGCACGAGAGGGTGACCGGTGTCTGCAGCCTACAGCACTCATTCTTCGTCCCTTCACCACCCAAGACCATCGCAACCTTACCCACATCCGAACTGGATCTGCGGGGACCCCCTCCCTCTCACCGTACCTGACTCCCAACGCCCACAGACCTACCATTACATACCTGCCAGGCTTCGTTGAGAAGCGGGACAGCCTCGGGACCCGAAGGATGCGCGCTTCCTGCGCCGCTGAGCTTAAGGCCGAGCAACCCCATCACCTCTGGCACCGTGCAGCGAGTGGACAACTCTTGCCCCTGAAAAATATTTAGGTTGTGCACCCGTCACAGACGCAAGTCAACCAACCATGGACCGAGATGTTTGTTTGTTTTTCCAACAACGGTCGGGGGGGGGAGGGGGCTTCGTGTGTCAGTAGCCAACCATTACCAGCATGTCTTGGCGTAACAACGTTGCCAGCGGCTGCAGCGGCATCAGCAGCAACACTTAAACGCTCGCTCGTCCCTTACACGAAGCAAAGCGGGGCGCCCGACAGCCGGCATCAACGCTTGTAAGCTGCCTTGGGTACACACAGCGCGGCACGCTCTACTGCGGTTTAAAATCACGTCGACCAGGGCGGCGACCTGCGAAAAGATGAACCGCGTGTCTCGTCATGCTGCTTCAAACCATGTTACGCCGCACGTCCACCCCACCGCACCGTGCCGTAAGGTAGAAAGAACCTCGTAGCGTACCGTGTGCATACCATGCCATACATACCACACCGCCGAGAGCAAGCGTGCTCCGGCCATTCATCCTCTACCCTTGCAAAGCCAGCCCCCTGACCCTAACCATAACCTAACCTGCTTGATGAGCAGCGCCATCTCCAGCGCGAAGGGAGCGTAGTGTTCCGGGCTGAAGTGGTTGAGGATGAGCCGCAGCACCTCCAGGATCCCGCAGTGGTTGCGGTAGTTTGCGAGTATCGACGTGAACACTCCCTGCGGGGAATAGCAAAGGTTAAGGTTAACAAAAACGGGGGCTTGAGGGGATTCTCGCAGTGCTGAGTCGAGGGGGGGTCGCGATGGTTGAGGCTTGTGGTCCTGAATGGGTGTGGGTGTGTAGGGTGCTGTGACATCGCAAGTATTCATAGCTTTTTCTCACAACTGTAACGTTCAAGGGGATGTTGCGTGAAGTTTCTCGTACACACAGGCCCAACTGGCGAGAGAGGGTGGGGCGACTCGCTCCCCTCTAGCCCCAAACAACATTCTCTGCACTGGTGTCCGACTATAACACCATGCAGGGGAGTGAGTGACTTCCACCAATCCGGGAGACCAGCTTTGCATAAGCGCGCATACATACGTGGGCAGGGAGGGTACGTGTGTTGCTCAACCACCTGTGGAAGAGTAACGTCATACATGCACAAACACACAGTTGCATCGTGTGACGCCCCTCTTTCCCCCGCGGCCGCTGCTCTCTCACCCTCGGGGCCCCCGGGCCGACGACCCCCAGGAGCCAGTCAATCGCCGGCGCGTGAAGGTGCAGGTACTCAGACAAGCCGAACTGGTTCGCCCGCAGGTATCCCTCCAGCTTTCCTTGCTGCACCTCCTGGAGGCTGAACAGGTAGTCCTGCAGCGACGCCACCGCATGGGCGCTCTCTCGCGGGGCCACCGCAGCGCCGGCGGCGGCGACGAAGCAGCGGCAGTAGACCGCCACCATAGGGTTTCCCACGCCTCGCACCAGCGTCGACAGCCGACCTATCGAAAGGGAAGGAAGGGCGTAATTTTAGGCGGTCAGCGGCGGCGGGATACACAACCGTTGGTTGCCTGCATTTTGGTGTATAGAGGGGGGCCCACTATAGTGCCGGTTGAATATTGCAGGTGCCTGGTATAGTACCAGTGCTTTCGGCTCGCACACACTGAACTACCAACTCATTATGTACTCTGAATATTCCCGGTGCCCGGTATGGTGCCGGTAAAACCTCGGGACACACCCCGGCACTATATAGGGCCCCCCACTGTACTGTCGTTTATTCCACTCCAACAGGCGCCCCCCGAAACAGAGCACCGCATAATACTTTCAACAAGGATGACAACTACCATTCCTTTCCGACGTTCTCCGCGTGTCTGCCATTTTGAGTACGACGGGCGGCGGGAAGGCACAAGCGAAAAGTGGAAGCCTTGTTATCGGCACGGACGTGCCTTCAAGCACACACAAGCCGAGGACGCTAGCGAAACAGCAGGTCTGCCATTCCATGTCCGGCAAAAGGTGGTACAGTACCTAGGATCTGGCCGAATTCATCTTCGTTCGCCAGGAAGCGGTAGCAGGGGAGGAGCGCCGCCTGCACCGACGAAATGGAGGGGGGGGGTGAGGGAGGGGGGTACACGAAACGGGCGATTCTATCGATAAGCAGGATCTCATGTGTCATTGTGGGCCAGCAGTCAGTCGATCGGCAGCAACACGCGCCACGGGTGAAGTAGAGACGACACAACAACAACAGGTGGGAAAGCTTCCTATTCGTTGCTCGTAGGGATAAGGCGCGCCGTGCACCTGTCGCGGATAGACACCGAAAAAATGGCTTCAAGGCATCCTCGTAAAACCGCACGGACGGAAGGGCATGTTGTGTGATTAATCACTTTTAATTGTGGCACTCACAGCATTTCTGCGGAGAAGCTCCAATCTTTGGTCACACAGAGCTCCAACCCGTGGTCACACAGCCGAAGAGTTCTTCCCCCTGAGGCCTCCTACCCACCCCTCCGGAATGTGCATCCAAGAACGCCGTGTGCTCGACGATACCCCGATAGCCCCATTTTGTGGAAAAAAACGATCGGGAACAAACACGCCCTGAGGAGGCAGCATTTTCGCTTCTCCATTGAGGTGCCCCCTCCACACAAAAAAAAAATAAAAACGCAGTTGAGATACATGAAACGCGAAGAACAGAAAATGACCCCCCCAAAAGGACAGATACCACACGCTTCCACCGATAAACTTTCCGACTTCGTTCTTTCCTGAAAACAATACAGGCACACACCCGGGCACCGACCTCGATCAAAATTCTCGGCAGGAGCTCGCGGATGCACGCCGTCTTGTAGAACCAGTTCCGGCAGGTCTCCCTGGCCTCTGCGCTGACGTCATCGCAAGTCCATCCTCTCGGCAACGCGTGCCGCGCACCCCCCGCCCCCGCCCCCCCCCCGGGCGACGGGTCGGCCGGAGGGTCCACTTTGTTGCCTGTTTACATGGTGGATGCGTGCGTGTGAGGTTGCGCGAGGGACCAGAGCCATGGGGCGAGGTTCGCTCGTGGGAGCCCGGGGGGGCGTACTCTCATGTTTTGCATGCCTTAGCGGTTGGACCATTGACCACGCGTCCTCGAGAGGACGGAGCAATGTTCCAACAGGACCGATCACCGATGGCCAATCGTCCCTTCCTAACTTGCCTAAGGTGGCCGTGGGCACCCCGTGAAGGGGGGCAATCTTGATTTGCTATGAGCATGATTGAGCATTAGCCACGCACACAATCCCTTTCGAGACAGGATACTCCTTTTTCCGCTACTATAATAAAACAGACAAGAATTGCCGGTGTTTGGAGGTTGGTCGGGTTTCCGCCCTGTGGTTCTCACGGTAAGAGTTGACGGGGTGAGGGTATGGGGCACCTACCCACCTGCAAACCGCCAACCCCGCGGAAAAACAACGAAACACCGGGACGGAGCGAAACGAAACAACGAACAAAAACAGCACCCGAACACACACCCCTTGCCGACTCCCCCCGAACAAAACTCAGCCCTTCTCCTCCTCCAACCCCTCTGCAGTTTTTTTCTCGGTCGTCTTTTCCTCACCCGGTTGTGTCGGCGAGGCCTCTTCTCCCACGTCCTCGGCTCTATCACGTATCCGCTCGAAGACCATCACGCCGAAGGCTTCCAGCAACCCGGCGACAGAGGCGAAGAGGGCGGGGTAGAAGGACGGCACCGTCACGTCTCCCAACAGCTTGGCCGCCTGCGCGGCCCCCGTGACGAAAACAGCCAAGCACACCGGATGGAACCAGCACCCGGGGCCAAAAGCAACATTCTCTTGATACCACAAACATTCCGATGCCGACAAGGAGTATGGGGTAAAGCGGCTGGGGGTTTTGAAGCGTAATCTGAAACAAACCCTCACACATCATATTGGTGTGAACGATCAGGCAGGGCAAGCGGCCAGCGGCCTGCACGGCACTTAATCGCCGAGCGACGTGCAAGTGTCAAGCGAGTTGCAAAAAGTGCCGGACCAACAGCATATGAATGTGTGACTAGCGGCCCTTTTCAACACACACGTTGCTCTTCATCACCCCCCCCCCTCAAACATCGACCTCAAACATCGACCGATCTAGAAAGATGGGGAGTAAGAACTAGAAGACAGTGTTCCGGTGGAATGTAGAGTGTTTGGGAGACGAGGGGACATGGGATGAATTCCAGAAGGGACTGGCTGGTAGGGTAGAACCCTTCAGAAAACTGCTGAGAAGCGTCGAAGACGGACAGGTAGACGTACAAGCAGCAGGGGACAGGGTGATTGAAGGGTGGGAGTCCACCGTGAACGCAACGGCAGAGAGAGTAATGGGAACGAAGCTGGTACGATGTGGGGTATCGGATAAATGATGGGATGACGAGCTGAACGAAGAGATAGGGGAACGTAGAGGAGTCTTCAAGCAGTACCTGAGTGAGGCGTCTGAGGAGAGTTGGGAAAAGTACAGGGCCAAGAGAAAACAGGTGAAGGGACTAGTGAGAAAGAAGAAAAAGTGTATTTGGGACGAAGTAGTGCAGAAGGCCAACGGAGGCCTGGAGGGGAACGTCAAGCAGATGTGGGAAGGGATTAGTGGAATGGTAAAAAAGACCGCGCAAGGTGGGGATACAGGGGTCGCAACTTTGCGAGGTGTGAACGGTGGATTAGTCAGCAGTGGGGAGGGAAAAAGGAAGTTCGAGCAGGACACTACAAAAGACTTGGAGTGCCCACGGAGAATGAAGCTTTTGACCAAGTGTTGAAGAGGGAGGTAGACGCATGGGCCCAAAAAGAAGAGACATCGAAGGCAGACGTTGGGAACGTAGAACTAGAAAAGGAGTTCACTGAGGACGAGGTTGAGGCGTGTGTGAACAAGCTGAAGTGCCACAAAGCAGCAGGAGCGGATGGGATAGTCAACGAGTTCATGAAGTTTGGGGGGAAGGGGATGATCCAGCTGATGGTACTGCTGTACAATTGGGTGTGGAAAAACGAGTATACGCCAAGTAGATGGAGGGAAGGAGTGGTTGTGAACTTGTTCAAGAAAGGAGACAAGACTGACCCAGGAAACTACAGGGGGATCACACTGTTGAACACAGTAGGAAAAGTGTTCTGTAAGCTGCTGAACGATAGGATAGTGGGAGTATTGGAGAGGGAACATGGCACTGGTGACGGACAGGCAGGTTTCCGAAAGAAGAGGGGGTGCGTAGACCACGCATTCACGGTAGGGA